TTAGTCTGTAAAAGTAAAGCTAATAGGCTCTTTTTCACCTACTGAAGTTAGAAAAACAGATGTTAAATGGTCACCTCTGTATTTCTTAATCACATTAGAATTGGAATGAATTGTATGTAGAAATATCCTAAATTTGCATCATTTTAAAGAGAGTGAGTTATTCTGAGTTTTTTGGGAAATTCAACCCACCCATTTAAATTCCATTCCCTTTCCGCGTGTGATCCTTTTCCTGAGGGAATTTTGAGTAGAGATGGGGAAATAATGATGTACACAAACAACTAATGCAAAGCTGAATACAATACTGTGGGACAAAGTGCCATAAGGATTCTTTATGTTTTTTTTTTTGTAACTCTTTTTTTATTGTAAAATATACATCAAATTTACCCATTTTAACCATTTTTAAAAGTACATAGTTTAGGGACGCCTGTGTGGCTCAGTGGTTGAGCCTCTGCCTTTGGCTCAGGGTGTGGTCCCCTGGTCCTGGGATCAAGTCCCACATTGGGTTCCCTGAGGGAGCCTGCTTCTCTCTCTGCCTGTGTCTCTGCCTCTCTCTGTGTCTCTCATGAATGAATGAATGAATGAATGAATAAATAAATAAATAACGTCTTTAAAAAAAATATACAGTTCAGTGACATTAAGCGCACATCCACATTTTTGTGCAATGAGGACTCCTAAAAGGGAAAAATCATATACTTTTAGGACAGTCACGGAATGCTTTATAAGAAAGTATTTTTAATTTTTTTTAATTTATTTATTTATGAGAGAGAGAGAGAGAGAGAGAGAGAGAGGCAGAGACACAGGCAGAGGGAGAAGCAGGCTCCAAAGCACCGGGAGCCCGACGTGGGATTCGATCCCGAGTCTCCAGGATCGCGCCCTGGGCCAAAGGCAGGCGCCAAACCGCTGCGCCACCCAGGGATCCCTATAAGAAAGTATTTTTAAAGTGAATCCAGGATGCCTGGGTAGCTCAGTGGTTTAGCATCTGCCTTCGGCTCAGAGCATGATCCCCGGGTCCTGGGATAGAGTCCCACATCAGGCTTCCTGCATGGAGCCTGCTTCTCCCTCTGCCTGTGTCTCTGCCTCTCTTGCTGTTTCTCATGAATAAATAAATAAAATCTTTAAAAATAGGGGATCCCTGGGTGGCTCAGCGGTTTAGCGCCTTCGGCCCAGGGTGTGATCCTGGAGTCCTGGGATCGAGTCCCACATCAGGCTCCCTGCATGGAGCCTGCTTCTCCCTTTGCCTGTGTCTCTGCCTCTCGTTCTCTCTCTATGTTTCTATGAATGAATAAATAAAATCTTAAAAAATATATTTTTAAAAAAATTATACACTAAGTTCACCGGCTAAAGTTTCTAATAGACCTAATTATTCGTTTGTAATTTCTTCATTTTACTCCTATTTCAGCCAGATTCTGTGTTCTTGTTGTGTTTGACCCTGTCAAATTAATGTTCTAATGAGAAGGTCTGCAGTGAAGAACAGAAGTTTCGTAATATTCACTTTGGGGAGGATGGATATTCCTTATTACTGGATGGGACTGGATGCCTTGGTTAGCATGCTCTGATGCTGCTAATAATTACTATTAATGATATTATCTAACTTCCTTTTAAGAATTTTTTTATAACAGCTTTGTTAAGGTAAATTCACATATATTGAGATTAATTCATATATACCATAAAATTCACCTCTTTGAAAAATACATTTCAGTAGTTTTTAGTGTAGTAACAAAGCTGGGTATCTGTCATCACTATCTAGTTTTGGAACATTTTGTCACTAATAGAAACCCCATAACCCATTACCAGTAGCACTTTATTTCTCCCTTTCCCCAATACCATGTAACTTCTAATCTATTTTCTGCCTCTTGATTTTCCTAGTCTGAACATTTCATATAAATGGAAACATAGGCTTTTTGTGTATTTTACATAGTATAATGTTTTCAAGACCCATCTGTTAAGTATGTCATCAGTACCTTATTTCTTTTTATCACTGAACAATAGTCAACTGTATGAATATGCCATGTTTTGTTCGTTCATCAGTTGATGGACATTTGAGCTGTTTCCACTCTTTGGCTTTTATGAATAATGCTATGAACATTTGTGTGTAAGTTTTTGTGCAGACATACATTTTCCATTCTCTTGGGTATATACCTAGGAGTAGAATTGCTGGGTTGTGTGGGGTTGCTCTATATTTATCCTTTTCAGGAATTGCCAAACTATGTTTCTATTAAGATTTTATTTTATTTTTTTTAAATTTTTTTATTTATTTACGATAGTCATACAGAGAGAGAGAGAGAGAGAGGCAGAGACACAGGCAGAGGGAGAAGCAGGCTCCATGCACCGGGAGCCTGACGTGGGATTCGATCCCGGGTCTCCAGGATCGCGCCCTGGGCCAAAGGCAGGCGCCAAACCGCTGCGCCACCCAGGGATCCCTCTATTAAGATTTTAAAACCTAATTCTACAGACAAGTTTGGCAACCAAACACGACTTTATTTCTACTTGGTCTCTCCTTTTTTTGAAAAATGGTAATTTTGTTAAAGCAGATCCTTTATTCTTAATTTTTTATATCTAAAAACAAATATCTTTTACTAAGCAAAGAATGTTTTTATGCATTGATAGGAAAAATTGGCATAGCAGATCCCTTAATGATAATGCTTTATGTATTTTTATTGGGGAGTTGAAGTGGAAAGGTGCAAAAATATGGCATGTAAAACTTAACTCTGATTTGCCAAGTAATTTTTAAGACTTTGGATATATATAACAATTAGGACTTCTGTGGTCTCTGTATGGATCGACAATGGAAGGATTAGAGAGAACATCAATGACAGTTTACTCTATCATTTTAGAACTTGGCTTATGATTTATTTTATGTAATGGGTCTAAATAGACTTACATTGCTTTCTGAGTTTTTTAAAGAAGAATTGGAGCTGGCAATCAGTGTGGTCTCAATATCCTACTCTAGTATGGCACCAAATCTTAGGGTATACACAAAAAGGATTAAATTGCTCTTTAAGAACCAAAATTTGACAGTTTTTTTTTTGACAGTGTTTGAGTATACAAATAAGGATAATTTGATGTCTGCCATTTCAGCTAATCTGAGACAGCTAATTAAACTTTTCCCTTAAAAAAATAAAAATAAAAAAATAAACTTTTCCCTTAAATTCCTCATCTATTAATAAATTTAATGCTTATCTTAATTTTTCCATATTTAAAGACATGCTCTATGCTAGGTGCTATGTAGGGTACTTTACATGCATGATTTAATAAATGCATTTCTTCTGTCTTTACTCCTTGACTTAATGTAATTATCACATTTAAAAAATTATTACATAAACAATATTATTTATTTATTATATTTATCTTGTTAAGCCCACCAAGTTGTTCTTTTTCCCTCATTCAAAAGGTTTCTTAAGTCTTAATTTTTAATTGAAAAGACAAGTAATTAAAGGAAAGAAAATTAAGTTACCTATTTCATATAGTAAAACAGCTTTCTGTCTTCATTGGCGATGGGACTGGAGAGTAAGGGACCATGTTTGGGAGTTGTTTACTGAAGTAGACTCATGAGAACTTGAAATTGATTAGGTATGAGAGGTAGCAAGTGGGATAGATAAGAGGGGAAAAGTTCAAAACTACTTAGGAAGTCTTACCTTTGAAAGTGTAAGGAGAGCAGAGGTGCAATGAAAAAAAGAGAATCATTTGAAAAATTAGGTTTCTTTTTATCTAGTTAGGTTTGAATTGCTGTTGGGGATGTTTAATAAGCAGTTTGTGGAACTAGAACTGAAAAGTCAGGACTGGAAATAGAGATTTTGGAATCTTCATAAATGTAATTGTTAATGTCAGAATAGGGAGGGGATAAGCTTCCTAAAAAATGAAATCTGAGAAGAGAACAGTTCCATAGAAAACACAACATTTAGGGGTTTGGAAGCAGAGGAGGCAGAAAGGACTAATTTAGCAGGGTAAGAGGAGAATCAAGGGACCGTTTCATGGAATCTAAGAAAGGAATTTTAAAAGGGGGAGGATCATTTGTGTTAAATAAAATACTTTTCGGAATTAAGGCTTTGAGATATTGATGGAGTTTGGAGATTACTGGTGACTTCATAAAAGTAGTTTCAGTAGAAGTGGTAAAGAGAAGATTGAAATTTTTGAGGGGTTCGGGAGTTAAAGGTTTACCAGTACGTGCAGGTTTCTCTTTAAAACTGTGGTCTGTTGGCCACAGCTTAGTGGCAGTCTGGCTGAGCAAAAAATAATTTATTTCCATATAGTGGTAAATATGTATTGAACTCTTAAGCTGCTAAGGGGACTCTTCCTGTGCTGTATTTGTTTTTGCAAAGGTAAATAGGAATTCTGCAACCATGCTATTAATTTGGGGGTCATATTTAATTTTTTAGTTCGACAGTTGATGTTATTGTGGCTTAATGTGTTAAAGCTGGAACTGTGTATTCTCAATTTTACTGTATGTTTATTTATACTCTATGTTATGGAATAGTGAAATTGGTGATAGATTGCTTTGGAAAACTATGAGAGTCTGGGCTTGGCAGAGTATTCCCCTGTGTAAACTCAAGGGTAGGGACTGTCATGACGTGTTTTCTTCAATCAGGACACATAATCAGATAAAGGGGGTGGCATGGTCAGGAGCCCTAAGTATAATACCCAAATTTTGGAATTTTTGAGCAATTTGCTGGGACAGTGGGACAAAATATTTGAATTTGGGATTAACCTGCAAAATGTGGAACCAGTGGTTTCATGAGTTAAATGGTAGTAAGAGGACCATTAGATAAGGATGATGAAGAAAGGAATGAACGGACAGGTGAGAACCCGTGTATAGAAAGAAAATTATCAAACCTGCAAACACTTCTTTGCCATTTGTATGTATTATATATCTTCATTTCAGTAAAAGTTATATATATAATTTTAGTGTCCTGTTAATTCAAATGGGATTCTACTTTATTTCCATAAGAATGTTATTTGCACATTGACAGAGGAGAAATTTGTATTACATCCTCCTAACTTACTTGAGATCTTGAGAAAGCACTGTGTTGTCTTTTCCCACCCAAGAACAAGAGCCTTTCCTTTAAAGAAAGTATTGCTTGTTGTCTGGGCTGTGCAAAAAAAAAAAAAAAAAAAAGGATTATAGATTTGGGAATTTATTTTTCCTTTTAGTTTTATGCTTTCCCATATTATTTCTAATATATAAAGTCTATAGTTCATTGCGGCTCTTTCTTCCACAGGTCCTATCCTGTCCCCGTGCTCTAATAAAACCACCTTTTTGCACAGACACAAAAAGTCTATAGTATAAAACAAGTTCTCAAGGGGTGCCTGGGTGGCTCAGTTGGTTAAGCATCTGACTTGGTTAAGCTCTTGATTTCCACTCTGGTCATGATCTCAGGATCGGGAGATGGAGCCGTGTGTCAGGCTGCAAGCTCAGCATGAGTCTGCTTGAGTTTCTCGCCTTCTGTCCTTCCCTGCACTTGTGCGTGTGGGTGGGCACGCATGTGTTCGATCTCTCAAATAAATAAATCTTTAAAAAGCAAAAACAAAGACAAGTTCTCAAGATTAAAGCTTATTGCTACCCCTTTGAGGAGAATTATAAAAGTTGTTACCTTCGGGAGATCTCCTTTGCTAGCAGTTGATGGAACTAGGAATTGAACTCTAGTGTCTCAGCCTCAAAGCTGTCCCATTGTGAAGTAGTAATAAAGTGTAAGAGGGCAGAGACATTTGTTTCTTAAGTGTACTGGTCAATTCTAATTTGTATTCCTTTTCTCTGAACATTACCACCAGAGAAGACCTAAACAGTTTATTTACTCACTATTTACTCGCTACTGTTAGTTACAAATTATGCCAGTAGTAGCTAGTATTAACAGAAAGAAGACATGGTCTGCATTTTCAGGAAATTCATGTTCTGATGGCATAGATGAATATATAAGTAACTACTGCACATTGGGATATGTCCTAGAGTAGAGGATAAAGAGCTGTGGGTAGAGATGAGGAAGCACTTTGGGAGGAAGTGGGAGATGGGGTTTGGTGCCAGGACTGGTCTCAGGAAATGTTTTAACAAGAGGATTTCTGTAGTGAGCTAGAAGAAAGTGAGGAGTTTGTTTGGTGTATACTACTAAGAAGATAACTGAAGCATTAAAATCAACATGAATAAAGAATAAAATGTTTTTGTTACCCAAAGAACCCATATGATTGCTCCTACTTCAAAATAGTATCCTTTTACCATTTGTCCTGACTTAGCTTCAAAGAACGCATAGCTTTCCTCTCTGAAAAAGAATGGCTGACAAGTTAAAGTTAGTCTGTTATAAAGTAATAGGTAAAGCGTGAGCAAAGATAGGAAGAATTTTGAAAGGCAGAATTGGATGTTTTACAATTGAATATAGACATTGCAATTGTATGATTTAAAGGTCCTTTGGTTTTGATTCCTGTGATGGGTGTTAGTGATGTGCATATTTTTATATAAATAGGTTTGTAAAGATTTAAGAAAAGCTGGTTAGAGATAGTATACTTTTGCTGGGAATTATAATATGATTTTTTTACTTATTGCTGTTAACTTTGTATTTGGGGTTTAAAAATTATTCTGGCTTAATGATCATACAATTTATATAGTAGTATTAACTTAGTAATACTATAATTGAGTGGCTTTGTGACAGGACAGTTAAATATTTCAGGTATAAAATCAGATTCTTCATTTAACAGTTATTATGGAGTGCCATCTATGTGTCAAGCCCTTTTAAAATTCAGATGGATTTGGGCACCTGGATGGATCACAGTCGGTTAAGCATTGATTTTAAGTCAGTTAAGACTCTTGATTTTGGCTCAGGTCATGATCTCAGAGTTCTTAGGATCCTGTGAGCTCAGGGCATCTGCTTGAGATTCTTTCTCCCCCCTTCCTCCCCTATGCCTCCCCTCTCTCCTTGCTCACATGTGCTCGCTCTTGCTCTCTCAAAAAAATTAAATAAAATTCAGATGGATTTTGCAGATGCTTTACCGACTGAGCACCCGGGTGCCCCCAATACTGTTTTTTAAGTGTTGACATTGAGGAATTTGGGGCAGTGGTGTGTGGCCTGGTAATAGCGTAAGAAGTCTTGAGCTCCAATATTTAATTTATTTATATTCTATCTTATTCCGAAAGATATTTATCTTATTTGAGTTAGCTAAATTTCCATGTTAGCTCTATTACTTTTTGTGTCCATTTTTTTCTTAGTTGTTCTGATTTAAAATCCAGCCAATTAATACTTTGCTTACCTCAACATATTCTGAATTCTAAGTGTTCAATGAATATGAAGAGAATTAGATATATTTTAGAAATGGAGCTAACACAACTTGCTGATGCATTGGATGTTGTAGGGGAGGTAAAGGAAGGAATCAAAGATGATTCCTAGCTTTTAGATTTGAGCAATTGTTGAATGGTAGTGCTTATTTGGACATGTTTGTGATCTCATGAGACACCCAGTGGACAATCCAGTAGACAGCTGTTTGACTAGAGAGATTCAACAAACAGCACACAACACATTCTTACTAGCTTAGAACCATAGGTAAACAATTAAACTGTACTACTTTGTTAAAGAACTCAAATCTTGACACCAAAAGGATATCTTAAAAGAGAATAGTTATGTTGCATGTGACTGTGAGAAGCTTTTGAGAAATCAGTTTATTGATATAGGATTAAGAGAATAAAGCTTTGTGTTTGAAGAAATAAAGAGAAAAAAAGAATTTGGAACATTAAAACAAAGTATTAAACTTCGTTTTTTTTTTGTGCATCAAAAATTCTAATCTATTAGAGACATCTGTATAACTTGCCTGAGCTCAATAAATAAATGATGTCACCCATTTTTAATGTGATTTGCATTAGATCTTGGTCTATAACGTCCAGTAAGATAGTCCAGTTTGTGCCTTCAGTTTTATAGTTGGTGAGATCGGCAAGACTGAAATTTCACAAGTGGTAATAGAGCAATGTATTACTGACTCTTTGGTGCTGGGGGCTGAGGAGCTGTTAAGGGAAGGGTCAAGAAAGCTTCACAAAGGAAATAACACTTTAGCCAGATCCTACTGTTAATTCACCAGCAAGGGTAAAAATGTCAAACTGTGATGTTGAAGGGTGGAGGATTGCTTTTGGTGGTGGTGGTAGTAAGTGATTCTATGTGGCTGAAGCATCAGATTCTTAAGTAAGAGAGTGTTAAAGAAAAAAAAAGCTAGGAAATTGGACAGGCAGCATTCAAAATGTTGTAATTAAAGAGTTGGTAGTTTATCTTGGAAGTCATGGACACATGAGAGGATTTTAATGTGATTGACTAAAAATGATCAGATTTGCCTTTTAGGACAGTAACTGCGATACAAAATTATTTAAAAGAACTTACTGACTTTTTCAAGATGTTTAAGAGTAGACCATTGAAAATTTTTCTTAAAGGCTTTGTTTGCATAATTAAAAAAACATCTGATACAGGGTATGGTATCTATAAGCCTATGTAAATATGCCATTTAGCTATATTTTGCTCAGTTAGGATGGTAAATGATTCAAAGTACTTTCTTCCTTAGGAGTATATTAAATAACTATGTTAAACTTAACAAATGAATTATTTTATTGGTGTTTTAGTTCAGTGCTATTTTGACACAGTCTGTCACATGCACTATATGAATAAGATTCCTTAATATTTTATATGTTTCTCAATTAATTTCCTAGTAATTAATTTCACCTAGAGACAATAGAATTGGTGGCCAGGAAGTTAAAATGAAATTACACATATAGATACTTTCATTTCCTGTAGTTAAATGAGTTTTGGTGCTATCTCTACTTCAATCACTATTTGGACATTCATTTTGATGTATTAAAAAAAATCTTTTGTTTAGGCCAGCATTTAAATCGTATTCTAAGATTAATGTATTTAGCATACAAGCATTTAATATGTTCCAGGGGTACTGAACATTACAAATGTTAATCTAATTATAATCTTGTACTCAAGAGCTTACGGTGTAGTAGGAGAAATAAGATGTATTCTCTTTACATATTTATCATAAAGAGAAGGAAATGGTATTTTGAGAGTGCATATAAAGTCTAAAAAGAATTCAGAAGGAAAAGATTATTTTTGCATGAGTGGGAAAAGAAACTTTGAAGGAGCTAAGACTTAAAAAGTAGATAAGATTTGGAAGCTTGTTTACTGAGTGTGGGTATTGTCCTCCTATCACAGAAGATGAGATGGGTTAACTGTGCTCATTGTCATACAGCTAGAAAGTGGTAGATTAGAATTTTAATTCAAGCAACTAACTGTAAAGCTGACCTTTTGTTTTGTTTTGTTAGGAAAATTAGACCCTACTTGTTATCTTCTTAAAAAACATTTGGGTAGAATTTTTTTCAATGTCAATTTTTTTATGTACAAAGGTTAATGTTTAATGGACCACCTTTGTTTTATTTATACTACACCAGAGATGAGTATTGCTGATGAGTATGAAACTTTTTAAGTATACTGCTTATGTAGACTTATTTTAATAGAACATTGGAAGGTTGAAGTAGAAGTACACCATGCTGTGCAGGGCTTTAAGAAAACTGAATGTATAAAATTCGAACTCATGTGAAATATTTATTTGTACACAAAAGTATTCTAAAATTAAATATGAAAAATGCAGTCATTTCATATAAAAACTTTATTTTGTCCATTTCTCAATAATACATTGTGTAAAAAATAAATGGAATAATTGCAGGTATTCCAGAAGTGCATTAACATTTTATAATTAAATTCATCCCCTTTTCCCATTTCTTTGTAGTTACATTTTTTTCAGTGATTATTACCTCAGTTAATTACTTTACCCCTGTGTTTAGACTCATATCCTTCTGTAAGTCACATTCACATACAATATTTTGTAATGCATTAAGATACTATAAATACCTGAAAATTAAAATCTTTGAGCAAAAATAATACAGAGATTCTAATTAAATATGTACGATTTATAGTGCATAACTGGGAGGGTCTTTGTTAATATGGATTAAGAAAATAGCTGTCTTTTTCCTTTAATTTTTTTAGCATTTAATTTTTAAAAATCTTTTTTTCAAGTTTTTATTTATTTAAGTAATCTCCACA